AGGCTCAGACTTCTTGGAGAAGGCTGCTCTATACTGGCCTTCATACTGAGGGTCAATTACTGGCAGAGCTTTGTCTGACATTGGTATGAATAGGAAGACATGCCACAGAAGAAGTTGTTGGAGAAATCAGAAGTATGTTTGAGAAGGATGATGTTTTGGGAAGACCATGGGAGCTGCCAAATATTTAAAGGACTGTCAGCTAGAGAGGTGCATGCTGTTTGGCTACAAGAGGTGACGGTTTTTAGAAAGTAAACTGAGTTTCAACAAAATGGATGCTGTGTTTTGTGTAGTGAGTTGCCTCACTGAAAGCAATCTTAATTTAATATTACATGCAATTTAATATTACAGCCCATCTTTCAGATGTGTTGAAGAAGAGATTGAAGCCAGTCACTGGCAAAGCACATAAGCGTCTCTGTGAGAATTTGAAGAAGGTACCTCCTTTGGTGGTACAACTGCAAGCAAATCCGTATATTCAGGCTAGACTTTATCAGCATTCATGCCTTTTAGAGCAGTGCTTCTCAACCTCCCTAACGCTGTGACCCTTTAATACAGTTCCTCATGTGGTAGTGCCCCCCAATCATAGAATTATTTTCATTGCTACTTCATAACTGTAATTGTGCTACTGTTATGAATCATAATGTAAATATCTGTGTTTTCCAGTGGTCTTTTGGAGGTTGCAGGCCACAGGTTGAGAGCCACTGTTTTAGAGAGACCCATTATGTCTACAGAGCTATCCATGGTCTTAATCATGTCTTGTTCCAACAGCAATCAACACAAAGAAAGGAAACATTAGTGAATACAAGGGTCATTATTAGTCAGAAATTATTAGTCATTTTAGTCAGTTTTGATTAGCAAAACCCGTCTAAAAGAACAACAACAACAAAAAAAAACTAACTGGGGCCGTTTCCTTTGTGATTAAATGCATTACATTGCTGTAATGTATAAAGGAATACCAACTGCTCTGTGAAGAATTTGCTGCAAATGTGATGCTTTTAAAAGATGTTTACTATGTGAAACTCTTGACTTAAAATATTACCCTAGTTTGACCTAGTTTGAACTACAACTGTCTAATTAGTACTACTATAACCATTTTACAGATGAAGTGTCAGTAACTCACCTGAAATCATAGTGGTGGAAAGGGCCATTTGAATGGGATAGATCTGACTTCAAAATGAGGGTCTGAATTATATTGCACAAAATCACTCTTCTAAAAAATGAGAACACAGAAAAGAAGCAAGGTTTTGAAAGTTGCAACTGGGATTGAAAAGTTGAACTGGTGAAAAGGCCAGAATATGATTGCTGTGGTCTGAGCATTCACATGTGGAAACCTAGTCCTGAGTGTGAGACTATCTGTGTAGGTGTTGCCTCTGGGAGATGATTAGCTCATGTGGTGAGCCTTCATAAATGGGATTAGTATCCTTCTAGAAGAGCCCCTGGAGAGCTCTCCTACTCTTCCCACCATGTAAAATAGGAAAGAAGGACCCAGACATCAAATCTGTAAAAGCCTTCATCTTACTTTTTCCCAGAGCCATGAGAGATAAATATTGGTTTTTTTATTTTCCTCCTAGTCCATGGTGTTTTGTTACAGCCACCCAGACTAACATAATGACGTAAATGACAGATGGACTTTGCCGATTTCTCCCTGGGTGGCCTATCTCCTAAACCTTAGCATATGTGCCTGTGGACCATCGACTGTACAGATGCAAGCGTGGTTCTCAGCGAGGCTGTGGCACAGTCACAGCTGTAGAGCATTTCAGATCCCACCTCCTTCCTGAAGCCCCTAGGCCTCTTCAGCAGCCATAGTTGATTCAGCTGACTCGGTGACTTGGCCACCCAGCCGCATGGCAATTTTTTTCATTTGAGAATTGTAATGGGCATTTCAATGTCTACGTTGTTTAACTGCCAGTGTGCTTCTGTCTCCTCTTCAGCTGGGTGGTCAGCACGGTAAGGGCAAAGACCAGAGCTTTCTGCAGACTGTTTGACCAGTGCCTTGCATGGAATCAGTGTTCCTCCTTCTGCAACTGCAGTGTGATGCTGCAGTTCTTCCAGTGCAGTGTGCAGTCTGAACTGAGAACATTCTAAAACGTCCTAGATTTAGAAGGAGACTTTCAAGAGCCCCAGCCGGCTCAGCGATGTTTTGCTGTCATTCCTTCTTTGGGGATTCTGTAAGTGGGGACCCGAGGCTCTTCTGAGCAAATGCAGCGTTTTCCCTTCCTTCCATTCACTGCAGCTCAGACCGGAGTGTTCACTACTTCTGCATCTTCCCAAACTCTCTGGTGTTCTCTTTTCTCTCTCTCTCTCTCTCTCTCTCTCTCTCTCTCTCTCTCTCTCTCTCTCTCTCTCTCTCTCTCTCTCATGTTCAGATGAGGTCCACAAGCCTTGCTTTTCTTCTGCTTATTAAGCTCCTAAAGAGTAATAAAGAAACAGAGTCATCTGGGAGTAAGGAGTGAGAGTTAGGTAAACATCAGATCTCTTGGGAAGTTAGAGAGCATCTCTGGGCTTCCGTTTTTCTGAGCTGATAGGATAGAGAGACTCACATCTATCTTTATAAAGATGCACATGCAGACAACACATTCGTTAACAAAACATCCACACTGCCTTGTTCTACAGCGATGGTAAGTCTGTTTGTTTTCTCTTCCTTTCACACCCCCCCCCCCACCGTGCTTTCCCCTCCTTTCTTCCCCTTGATATCAGTTTCTCTACACAAGCCCTTGCTGAGAAATTCCAGCCATTTAAATTTCACATCCCTAAAAGGAATCTCACCTCTGTGTCAGCTTTGCGGTCCTGAGAACTGATTGAGGTCCTGGTCCTGTTTTCCCCATGAGCAATCAGTCCATGCTTCTGGAACACCTGTTACCTTTCTCATCTTCTCAAATCTCAAAACACACCCTTGCTTTGAATAGTACCAGATGTTCAGGAGCAAAATGCACACCACCAGTGTGTGGCTCCCAAGCCCTTGACATAGGCTTGGCATCTGTAGCCCGCGAGGGGCTCCTCTCATCTTTGGTCTCTCTTAGCTAGCACGTCTTATTCACTACTCTGAATTAAGGTTCCTAAAATCATTGCTCAAACAGCCCTTTCTTCCCCATATTCTTAAACAGTTCTCTATTGCCTAGAGCTAAGGTCCTGGCAACTCCATCACAGTCTCAATTCTCGGACCCCGGCCTTCTTCCTAGTCTTATTTCTCACTATCTGGTCACTCATTTTTCTCTGTTTATCTTTAATTCCTGATGTTTCCTCCTCACACCTGCAACCTCTCCTGTGAACTTATGCCCGTCTTGAAAGACACTTGGTGAAGTGGTTAATGCTTGCTCCTTGTCCCTACTATTCTTCATCTCGGGTTCCTCCCTGACGTCTCCACTCAGGTCCTTCTAAGGTCCCATTCTAGCCCTTTCCCCCACAGTCTGCAGCACATAAGAGGCCAGCACTTCCCCAACTAGTTGATCATGAAACACTTCTAAAATTATACTGTACGGAGCTGGAGGGGCGACTTGGTTGGTAAAACGCCTGCCATGGCAAGCATGAGGACCTGAGTTCATATCCCCAGCATGCATGTTAAAACGGGGCTTGGCAGAGCCCATCCGTAACTGAAGTACTAGAGGGCAGAGATAGGTGGGCTTCTCAAGATCGGCCAGCCTAACTAAATCAGTGACAGACTCTCAGAAAAATGAAATGGAGAGTGATCATTTGAGACACCTGACATCAGCCTCTGGTCTACACACACACACACACACACACACACACACACACACACACACACACGCATACACACATACACACGTATACACAAAATAAATGTATTGTAAAATACAATATACAGGCAACATAGAATGTGTTGGCAAGTCAATGACTCTTTGAAAGAGCATCAAGAATTCAGTCCACACATTTTTATAAATTTAGAAATGATTTTGTTAGCCTAGATTCACACATCAGGTACATTTTACCACGTTTCTTCCTCTATGTTGCTTTCACTAAAGCATAACATAAAGCTTCATTTGTCATAAAATAGCAAGGAGAAAGCAGAACACAGACTTTGTGGTTTGTGTTAGAAAGCAAACATCTTTTCTTTGAGGTTTTTTTGATTTACATACCACTTAATAGCCGTAAACCCGGGCCTCTTGTTAAAACTTCCATTTGCATCTAGAGAGCCACAGAGAGTCAGCTTGTGCACTCTTTGTACTGTATTTGCGTTAAGAGATGAATAACGTCACAAATATATCCCGAGTTTACCAGTCACGGAGCATCAGTCCCTACATATGTGATAAGAGAGGGTGGTAGATAATCTATCCCTCCTGCTCATTCATGCATCTAGTGGTCTCCATGACAGCTCCGGCCCTTCCCAGCATGCCATGGAGTCCAAACGGGTACATGCAGTGTAATAATAACTATGCACAAATGTGTACAAACAGTGTAATAGCAATGACTGTCTACAGTCTTAGTATTTTCTTACATAAAATGCAGCATGGACTGATAATACTGATAGGGCTGTGTTATCGCTGGATATACAGCTCAGAGACAGATCATTAGCTTAGCCTGTATAAGGCCTTGTGTTGCATCCTTATACCAAAAATGTCCAACTTTTATTTCCCAGTTCCCCCTCCATTCTTGGTACCAAAACATCAAGGATGGTCAGCTAGGTGGTCAAGCTAAGGGACCCAGCGGAAATGTACAAAGCCACATGTTGGTGTCACGTCTTGTCGGTTTGGGTCTTTACCTGATCGTGTGCTTTTATATCTGTCTGCCTTGAGGCTTAAACACAGTCTAAGTTACTCTCTAGCCTGTAGAGGATCTGTGTTTCTACTCATGGTCTGATTGCCTTCCACTCTAGTGGGGAAATAAAGTGGCTCCTGATAATTATCTCCCTGTCATTCTATGACTAATAGCATGTGTCCCTCGGTGATGGGGACAGGTAATGTTGCTATTAATGTAGTCTGGCAAAGCTTGCTTTCCAACAAACTTAGTTTCTCTTCTTTCTCATTGCTGGCTTGGCGCTCTGGCAGTTTCAGAGAAAGCATGGAGAAGTCATCCTGCTCCGAGTGGTTGATAAATAACAGCGTCGCTGAGCTGGTTGCTTCGACAGGCCTTCCCGTGAATGTCAGCGATGCCTACCAGGACCCGCGCTTTGATGCTGAGGTAAGAGGAGCCCGCTGTTTGAGGTTCTGTTGTCACACAGGGTTGACGATGTTTCTGGTTGAGGTGGGGAAGGGATGTCGTGCAGCAGCACAATAACCAAGATAGCTGACATTTCTGCACGCTCTGTGATCTGGTTCCCAGTGTTGCCTACTGTAACTGACTGCATGGGTCTGCCCAGACTTGTGGACAGATAGCCATCCTCAGTCTGATACTCTTTCATACCTGGGCAGACTTTATATTAAACTGTGACATAATAGTAAAAATGCATATATGACATGCTCTCTGGCCAACAGATGCTAGAATCACTATCATATTTTTAAAATTGCCCCTTATATAAACAGAAAATGGGTTGTTATTGTTTAATGTAAGTTATATAGGCATGTTATACTGACATGCAGCACGTATAAAACAGTTTTAAAGTTTATATTCTAAGGTGGTATAGAAATATCATGTGGGTGTACTCACATAAGCTTATAAAATGCCTCTGGATTGGTAAATGCAGATAATACGTATAGATGTATACATATGGAGAGGGATACACTCAAAGCTTTCTGTTGCAGACTGACAGGTTTAATTCTGAAAGAGTGACTGGACTTTTTGAAGAAAGGTGAGGAGATAGGTGTTGTGGGAAAAGCTGAGTGAGCATGGGGAGTTTGGGGAACCAGGATTAGTTTAATGTGGCAGAGTGCCACAGTAGATGATGCGGGAGAGATAGCTATTTTAAACCAATTTGAGGTTTACCTACACAGTGGGAATTAGTAGTTGAGTTTCAAGTGCAGGAGATGTGGGACTTGTATTCTTAAATTTTAATCTAATTAACTTACTTACATTTCTGGAATAAGATCTTGGTGTTCAGCAGTTCTCTGCCTCCACCGCTGTAGTACTGGGATGACACACACAAGCCACCCCAAGTTGTATTTTAAAATGATCCCACTGGCTATTGAGTAGAGGGTAGATTCCTAGCAACAGAGGGACATGTAATCCCTGATCTGTCAAAAACTAGGGGTTATTACACCCATTTCATAGACATTGAGCGCTGATGTATACTTAGAAGATGTGTGAGGATGCAACCCTACTGTCTCTCAGATGCCACAGCCCATCATGTCCACAGCTGTTATGGGGACCCAGAGATGTCACGGAAGCAAGAATCTTAGTCTGATTAATAACTGTCATCAGATCATCTTTGTGTATATCTGCAGGGAGATAGTAAATCCCTTAAAATCCCCCTCTCTGTAGCTCTTGGACCATTCCTGTCCCATGTTCCATCCCCCATACATTTCCTCTTCTTCCTGGCTTTGATGATCCCACCTTGGAAACTCTTTGATGAACTCCCAGTCTGGGTTGGAGACTATTAGCTGTTCTAGTGATGACCACCTTCCAGCTCTCTACTGACCTGAGACACTGTGTTTGAACTCGGGAAAGCACAGAGCCCCAAGTGTCTTCACTTCTCTTGTGAGGAAGGGTACCCCAGCACCTGGGTTGTGTGACTGTCGAGTGAAAATGTCAGGATGTCAGTATGTGCGTACTGCAGCACTGTGCTTGGAGCAGAGATTGCTGTGTAGAAGTCCCGTCTCTTCCTGCGTCTCTCTTCCTTGAGCCAAGAAAGAGGGAGCACTAAAGGAAGATTTCTGTGCATACATTTTTATGAAGAAAATCCCTCAGTGTTCTATGATTGTCACTGATAATAAATGAACAGCCCAAGGAGTTTGGTTATGCAGAAAAATCATAATTGCCAGTTGTCACAAAGTCAACATGTTTAATTGGCTGTGGGAGAGGTAAGTGTTCCCTAACCTAGATCATAGCACTAGGTTGGGTGTGAATTGCTACCTTCTGCTCTTAGCTTTGGATCATGGAGAAGGTCAAATTCTGGAAGAAAAAAGAAAAAAGAAAAGGAAACTGTTACCTTTCCCCTAAGTTCGTAGACTGCCTGTAAAGGTGTAAGAGAACATATGCCTACCCCCCGGACTTGGAAAAGGTCATTACTTTAGAATCTTTGTATTGATTTTCCCTGATCCCATCGCCTCACTCACCACCCCCACGGGTTACCAGTATCCAGACTCTGAATTTGGCATTGCTTTGCTGTCCTGTGTGGGCTCGTTCCACACATTTAAAACTCTACCCACTATGTTTTGTATTTTTATCTCTCTGAACTTCAAATTGGCTAATACTGTGTGTATTCACCTGTGGCTTTTTGTCCTCAACATTATGTGGCTGATGCTGCAAGTATGAGCATTGTCTGAACGAGTGAGACTTGTTTTGTTTATCCAACAGGTTTCTGAGAGACCTTTGAGTTCAATGTTTTGTTGATATATCAGTAATATTGAATGAGAAAAAAAAAAGAAATAAAAAGGAGGACATGGCTGCTCCCAGGAATGGGGAAGGAGAAGGCTACTGTAGATATGAGGGAAAGCACAGGAAGGGGCAGAGACAGAGCTATCTGGGAGAGTCCAGTGAGCATGGTCAGACTGAGGCAGGCCACGTGAGGAGAGACGGGGAGGGAGAGCAAAAGAGGAGCCATGAACCCAGAGGGGCAACCTGGGCCAAGAGAGCGAAAGGGGAAAAACAGACCGGCATAGCCCAATGGCTGGATTATATGAGGAAGAACAGCTGAGGAAGGGTATGCCAGCCAGGAGGATGCTGTGACAGGTAGGGACTGAGGGATGCTGGGAGAACCTGGCAGCAGCCAGTGTTAGCTTTGATACGCTAATAAGCGCCTCAGTTAGTCATTTGTCCCGGGTTTGAGACATATCTCTATGACTTTTCTTTTAAACGAAAAAAAAAAAGTTTTCAGATTTACTTGTTTAATGTATGAGTGTTTTGCTTGTGTGTGTCGGGGGGTGGGTGGGCGGGGGTGCTGGGGAGAACCTTGTACATACCCGGTACCTGTGGAGGTCAGAAGAAGACATTGGATACTCTGGAACTAGTGTTACTGATTCTTTCAATAAGAAATAATTCACTCCATCAAACTTTGCCTCGCTTATCAAGTATAAAAGTAAGCTGGCTCTCTAATTTCTGTGTCATTCCTACTACATGATGATTTCCGGGAGGTTCTTAGGAACTCAGCCCAAACACGGACAGGAAGAGAATGGTCCTTATTTTCAAATTTTGCTTTTGTAACTATTGTTTTTCCTTCCGATGGAAGAAGCTACAGAGCATGGCTTTGGGGTGACAAGGCAAACCTCACTCCAGGTGCCCTCAGGTCCCTGCTGATAGGGCTGTGGGGCAAGAATTCTCAGCTGTCCCCCTGCTGGGCATTCCCTTTGTAATCCTCTTAAATAGTTAATGGAGTTTCCTCCTTGTGGAGAAGTGGCAGGTGAGCCACAGTGATTAGCTGCTGTCTGTATGCCTAGACTCGTGGCGCCAGAATATTGCAGATAATCCACAGATATTGATAACGGAACTATTTATTTAGAAATTATATTAGGGAAAACAGCTCACTAAACAGGATGTGCAAAATCGTTGCAGAGTCCTGGAAGGTTGGTGTCCTGTCTCACACTGCTCCTGCACCCTGAGTCAGTCCGTATTATTCAAGCCCACGAGGGAGAGAAGAACTAACCCTGAGGCCACGCCCTAGAGGCTGGCACCTCAAGGTCATAGGTGGAACAGTCAAGGTCATGGGTGGAACAGGTCCCCACTACACCGACTCTCACCAGTGCTGCCTGTTGATCTTGAAAGCAAGCATATGTTTAAGGCCAAATTTATCGGAAGCTGTGACAGAATGCGATATAAAATAGTTATGAAGCCCCAAAAAATGAGTTTTAAATTTGTTACTTATGGTGATCACTATTTCCTTTGTTTGTTTGAAGACTCTATGATCTTAGAAAAACACCTGAGAAAATGTTAATATACATGACTTTATTTATTTATAGTAGTGTAAAAACACTCATGTTGATAGGTTTTGGGAGTAGGTTTTGTATTTTATCAGCCATTATATATCTTCTCTTAGAGGATGGCGGTGTCCATGTTTGCTTCTAAAGATGTTGACAAGGATGCTGTTATGGGTAGCCCACCAGGGATGACCACTCAGACACAGTTTATAGACAATTGAAAGTCTTTATTCCAGCTGGCTGGGACTACACTCAATTATCTAGGGACCTAGGTGTAGTCTCCAATCTCCGGAGCACAGGGTTTCTGAGGGCAAAAACCATGCCCTGACATTTTGCTCAGCAGCTGCAGGGACGCTTCATAGAAGCAAGCAAACAGTTTAACAGAAGTCAAGATAAGTGGTTAGCTGAAGAGGGTTTCACACCAACAGGCAGTTTAGCAGAAGCTAAGATACTTAGCTAAGACATCTTGACCTTTGGTTTCTAGAATAGAGTTGAATAGTTTTTCGTGGAATTCTCCATCAAGATTAAATTCTAGTTAAGCTTGACATGGCCTCAGCAAGAACCATCTTGCCCTGTCACAATGCTACATATACTGATTTTCTACTGCTACATAACAAATGAACTCCCACTCTCCATCATGCAGCTCCTGGTGGTCTGGGAATGGCATCTCTAGACTCTCTGCTCAGGGTCTCCCAAGGCTGAAGTCAAGGTGCTAGCCAGATAGCATTGGCATTAGTATGCTGACCAGATTGTTGGCAGAATGGAGTTCCTTGCCTGGTAGAGTAAACCTCTATTCACTTACTGGTAGTGGTCAAGGATGTGCATGGGCTCTGAGAGGTTGCCCTTAGGTCTTGAAGGTGGCCCTCTCAGATCACTCCCCAAAGGAAGAGCTCATTCCAAACAGCTGAAACGGAAGCTAATATAATGGCAAGAGGGACTTCATGTTACCTCAGGATGATTGTCCCACTGGCTTTGCCAAGGAAGCAACTGCCATCTATTCACGACCCTCTCCTCATTCAAGGGGAAAGAGGTAACAAGATGGGTACAAAGCTGGGGGAGAAGGTGGTATTGGGGAGGCGTTTTAAAGGCTATACAGAATGAATCCATACAAAATTCCTGTCCCATAAAGCAACTTGTATGTCCTGGTAAGAAAAAATATCCACAAGAAATAAA